ATTATTAAATATCTACTCATTTACAAGAATTATTAAAATTAGTAAAAAAAGTATTCAAGTCTCTGTCTAGTTTAATACCTTACCTTATTAAAATAATAAGTTTAATCAATTATGTAGTTAGCAAACAATGACGTTTAATTTATACTTAGTAGGGTTCACGGCATTAACTTTTCACATTGCATGTTTAATTCGGAGTTATAATTTGAGAATATAATTTACCCGTTTATTTTTGTAGTTTAGTAGTACTTCAGCAAATTTAGAAAACTGTATGTTATTTAAAAATACGTGACAAATCACGAGGCCAGGCAATCTAGAGATCTGACTGCTGGTTTGCGCGGGAAATACTGCATACTTTTTAGATAAAAGGAGTCTATGATAAGCGCACGTAGGAGATGATAGACAGAGAGCTAATATATAGAGCTAATGTATTGGAAAGAAATATAACAAGTTTACGTGCGCACATCACAGCCTCCCTTTCTTCTCTAAACAGTTTGGGATCATACCATAGTATCATAAATAATAATTGACAAATAGTTCGCAAAGGAATCCAACGGAAATATTTATACAATTGTTTACAACTACCAGTACAAATAATTCTTTCATTTTCAACTGAAAAGCGTATAACTATATTAAGTACTAGATATTATGGAGTTAGGGGTAATCAAATAGATTTGGGTTGCAGTCAACATAATTGTCACTGATACATAAGACATGGAAACGAATGATATCAGTGCTAATTTTCTCTGGTTGCCCGACAATAGCTACTTGTAGTCAATATCCACGTAATGTAATAAAATACTGGAATCTAATTGTTTGAGACAACAACCTATTTTTACCCGAGTGTTCTTTATCAGTTTGAATATTTTATATAAAAAATTACATATTAAGCTGCAATTTTCGTAGGACTGCAGCGAGTCAACGAGCCGCCATTACTCCGCCAATGCAAAGAAAATATCATTTTATTATCCTTTGTAAAAATAATTCCTTTCTGTAAAACACATTTAAATTTGGTACTCCGTATTTCGTTCACAATTCACCATTTAACAATGGAAATTAACAATGCAATATTTGGATTCTACAATTTTTAGGTAAAATGAATGACTGCAATGAGTTTTATCAAATGTAGATTTTATATAAAAATAAAGAAAAATAAGTCTCTTTATTTTAAAAATATTTAGAAAAAATCGAATCAAAACTTCAATAACTTAACATTCATTGTTCGTTATACTTAGTTAACTACTTCACCACGCGATTTCTAATATCGTTTCAATTTTTCATTTATTTCACATTATTAGTCCTTGCCGTAGTACTTGTTCTGCGCGTGAAGTTGTTTAAGAAATCTTAATGTCAATTATCTCTGAAAAATGTATCTATTATTATCTGTAATTATTGATGAATTTTGTTGACTAAAATTTTAGAGAAAATAAGTTCAATCATTTCCAAGAAATCATTAAATAAAAATGTTACTGTTAAGTAAAAAATTAAATTATTTGTTTAACGAGCAACAAATCTATTTGAAATTTAAATTTGTAAAATTTCGAATCTAATAATTTGAAACTCAATCTTTCTTAAAATTTGTAATATCTATAACAACAGAAAAAGAGTTGCACAAATTACAGTCGGTTTTTTTTAATTTCAGATTCATCAAAATTGTGAAGTTGAATACGATTTCTTTCCCAACCCCAAACCTAACGCTGAAAAGCAAAACAGCAAGGAAGTACGTAAAAACGGATAACGGTACTATATCGATTTCTGCTTGGACATGGGGCAAATCAGCACTGAATCTAAACTATGTTTCGCTTCGCCCAAGTGCGACATGCGGCAAATCTGCACCAAACAGTAGAGGCGAAAATCCCTCGGACGCGATCTGGATATGCGGCAAACCAGTTCTAAGGTGACGCAATTCGGATATCGAAAAAGCTTGTCCACGGTAGACGCTGTTCTTAAGTTACAAAAGTATATAACATCCTGCTTCGAAACAGAAGAAACAGCAGTCGTGACATTTCTTGATCTGTCGAAGGCTTTCGATTGCGTGTCACATAACATCCTTCTGGAAAAATTATCTGCGTATAAGATTGATGAAGAAAGTTGCAAATTACTAAAATCATATCTAGGGAATCGTCAACAGTTAGTTAAATTTAACAAAACATTTTCGGAACATCTGCCGATTAATCAAGAAGTACCCCAAGGTTCCATTTTAGGACCTCTCCTATTTTTAATTTTTGTGAACGATCTTCCAACTAACATAAACTCGGATTCAGTATTATACGCAGACGATACAACATTGTTGAACAAATTAATATCGGACGTAGCACCAGAAACGGTCAGTGCTGAAGCGCAGTCGGAAGCCTTTGATTGGTTCACAGCGAACAATCTTGTTCTGAATGTTGACAAATCAACTACGATGATTTTTTTTTACTTTGAAGAAAGTAGATATCCCTCGCAGCTTTCAATCGAACACTAACTTTCTGGGCTTTAGTTTGGACTCTAAACTCTCATGGGTTAGTCATGGAGAAAATACTGCAAAGAAAGTCAGCAAAAATATCTTCCTATTGCGACATTTGAAAGAAAATTTACCCAGAGAATATTTACGCAACATTTACTTCCCTTTATGTGAGTCACACTTGCTATATGGAATATTATTATGGGGACATGCTAGTATACGTCATAGACTATTTCAATTGCAAAGAATAGCAATTCCAATTGTTTCAAACTCAAAGTACAGAGAAGATTGCCGAGAACAATTTAGGAAGCTAAATATAATGACGCTACCTTCTTTGTACATTTTTACTTGCCTAAACTACTATAAAAAACATGAAAATGAATTTTCTGCCCATAGTGACTTTCATGAATACAACACAAGACATAAAAACAATTTGTGCCCGAAAGAAATAAGACTAAGGAAGTCCCAGAATGCGGTTAATTATTTCATTATAAAGTTTTATAATAAGAATTTTAATAAAGCAATAAAAAAATTGTTAATAAGCAGTGCCTACTACAGTTACGACGAATTTCTGGAAGACAAATCTATTGTGTAGTAAAATGTTTTGTTTTTATGTTGTTGGTATTTATTCACGTTGTATTTATCGTATGTTATAAATTTTACATTATATTTAATTATATAATATACTTTTCCCGACATGTACAAATATCCCGTCTGGGATGTAATGTATGAATAAAATTATTATTATTATTATTATACACTTTACACATATAGTAGCAAAACGATTAAGACATGTCCTGCGAATTGGTGGGAATGAATACAACATGTAATGAATATTGGTGTTACGGTTACTTTTCGCAAGCATGGACAATATTACAGTTACTGTGAGCGAACAATGATTATAATATTGTTACTTTTAACGAGCATTCACTTAAAACATTCTGTTTCATACCAAGGTTCCTTAATAGTGACTAGGTTAGTGCATACAGCGAGTTTGTGGACAGACTTGTTACAGAGGGAAGGGGGGCCACCACTCGTATAGCCGTGGTTACGTCCTGGCTACAAACGTTTTGTCAACACAATGCCAGTTTCAACAAAATCGCTCGTGGAAAAAGTGACTAGATTTAAAATTAACCGCGTAGGAGGGACTTTCTACGTCATCAACATGTCTCTTCAAGGTCATGATACACCCTAACCTAATCACTATAAAGGGACCTTGGTTTCATACTAAACTGTCAATTAAGGGAAAACTATGAGTTCGGTTTCTATACCGTAAAATTTTATTCTAAGATTTTGATTTATAACAGATTTGCCCTTTAGTTAAATTTTACAAATAAAATGGAATACAAATTTCAAACACATGTGACTTCGACACATTGTAGACTTGCAGCCTCTTTCGCTAACAGTGCTTGAATGTCTCTGATGTGAATCTAGAGTGAGTAACAAAAGCTGCCCACTCCACAAAGAAGGCAAATCTACGTTACAAAACTGTCATTCTTTCTGGCGCTAAATTTAAATTGAACCGGGACACTACACATTTAAATTAGATGTCATTTTCATTCCCCCAGCTAGTAGATCATGTCTTAACAAAATGTTTCATTAATCGGCGCTCTCGTAAAGTAACTGTTTAATGACGAACTGAAGGTTATAAATTAAAAGTTTTACAGCATCTGCTCTGAGGTATCGTCATAAAACTGTCAATGAGGATGATTACAAAAAGTTTCGTTAGCTTTTTACCATCTACGTGATATACATTATACATATATACAATTTGAGAACAATCGGTCCAGTAGTTTCGGAGATTATCTGTCTAACAAAAATTGATACAGACGGTGGACAGATAGACAGGTAGATAGACAGACAGTTAGACGGACAGACAGACGGAAACGGGAAACCAATTTTTTCGTACTCGTAAATATGAAAGTAGTCAGTCGCCCGATAGATTCGTTTACAATACTTTCTCAGCTTACGCTCGGGTAATAGAAATATAGAGATAATAAAATACTAGTCACAGCCCAACACATTGAGAAAAAAATAAACGGCTACGTTTGGCATTGAACAGATAAGTCCAGGGTCGCTTGCTCGTCTGAAGCTCACTCAGCCACAAAACTTGATATTTAACTTTACTCGTACGAGATTACTACACCTTGTAATTTTTTTTTGTAAAAATTTGTAGAACCTATTCTCCATTTTGTAAAACCCTTACGGGAAAAACTCAAAGCGGATTCGTACATCACAAGTATAGGAGTGAATATATTATTGTACAACAATTAAATCATTTTGAAGTAGAATTTTTTGAGATAATGTCATCAAATTGTTGATAGGAATGATTAGCCAAATTTTGATTAGCGATTTAACGTCTACATGATATTTCTGATATACATACAAAATTTTTCAACAATCTGTTCAGGATTTTCGGAAATTATTGATCAAATAAAAATGGGCCCAGACAGATAGACAGACAAATGAAAACGGGAGACCACTTTTTCATACTCTAGCGGTCATGAAAATTCGAGAAAACATGTAAGTTTAATTACTCATACAAAACTGAACTCACCCATAAGAAATACAACATTGCTCTTCCTTTTTTATGGTTCCCAGTGCCCTCACGACAAGTCTCGGTCCTTCTTGATAGAAAAAAGCGTTAGGGTAACAAGAATGATTAAATCCACCGAACAAAAAGTATAATCCGCGTGCGTAAGTAATCATTTCGTATCCCTCCACTGTAGGCTCTAGTCGATTTATTACAACCCCATTAATATGAACAACTTGTATGATCAAGGGCAACAAACCCTTAAACATCTCCTCCATGCCCTCCAAATCATTAAACAAATCCGTGTGTTTTTTCAGTAGAACATAAATTATACTAGAAACCCATGCAATAGTAAAGTGCATCCTCAATGACAGCGAATTAGTGTGGGCCTCCATTTTTATAATTTCTTCAAGGTCATGTGACTTGTTCTGACGGAACTGGATTAATACTAATAAAGTTATTTTAAGGCCCAAGGCGAGGCCGTCTTTGATGGATTCTAGGCGATCAAGTACGTCAGACAGGCAACATTCATATTTGTGCGTTTTACTAGCTAAAAATTTGCAGTATGTGCTACAGTAGAGAGCTTTAGCACATGCGTCGCACGATATTAAGTTATAGCATACTTTTAAACATTCTGAGCAGTAAATGTAGTTGTCTTGTAGCAGTACTGCAGTGTACGGTTTATCGACGAGTACGACTTCGCCGATTTCAATATCTCGTGTGGTCGTTACGTGTCTACCAAACTTGTTGTCAGTGTGGATTTTGAAGGAAGTATTATCACATGCAGTTGCCTGTACATGATAGTTTGGGTATGCAAGTACTTGCGTTTTACTGTTGGAGTTTTGTTTTTTGATGACTTGTGAGCGTCGAAGTGCCAGTTGGTGGGTAAATTCCTGCGAATAGTCGTTATAAAACGCTCTTTCAAGGTCCTAGAATATTTGGATGAAGTGTGAAAACAGAACAATTACTGGGTACTCACAACTAAACTTTCTTGATACAAGCCAACTTTTGCCAATACTGCGGATCGACCAGAATAAGCTAAGGCTGTGATTCTTTTGCTTTTGGCCGAGGCTATGGCTGCGGTATAGCTCTCAAGCGCTTCTACATACCTATTCTGTTTGAAATGAACGTTGCCACGTTTTCGTATTTCTGTCGAATTTGAATCGTTTTTGTTGCTTGTCAGCACTGCCTCTTCGTACACTTCCCACTGGATATTCTGGTTGAGCAATAAGTTTACCCTTTGGAGGTTACATGTACACTTTTCGAAACTATATTTTACTTGTTGGAAGATAGTTTCCATCTCATCCATTTTGGGGGTAATGATAAATTCAACTATGGTTAATTATGGTCGTTTTGATCATGTGATGGAAAATTTACATAACAACGCGTTTTTTTTATAATGGTTTGAAATATTCCACAACTGTGGCTGTTAATTCTGATTATTTTCCAAAAGCAGGATCGCCAACAGTTGTCAACGTCAGACGTTAAAAACAGGAGTAACAAAAAGGAAATTTTTGCGTGAAACCAGCATAAATGGGTAAGGTTAGACCGAGTTAGATACGGTTACGTAACATTGAGCTGTAATAGTATAACTGGAGAGGGAGAGGGAATAGCAAAGTCCCTACTCCCTTTAAACATAAGACGAAATGGCAGCCATATATACTAATATATACTAATGCACATAATTACCATTTCATTGAAAGTTCAACTTACTACTTGGTAAAAAAAATTGGTCTAAAGAGTTTAGACAGTACTTCCCTCGCTTTTAGAACCGAGTCTTTATGTCTGTCATAGATTCTTCTCATTAGAGTTCTGTAATGAGATATTTCAATAAATTCGCTTTCACACTGGAAGTCACGGCTCGTTCGTAATTTGATCAATAATAACTTGACTGATTTATTTTTTTTTTTGAGTCACCCTGTATAAGCAGATCTAAAAAAAATGAATGCAATGACAAATTACAAGTATAGTCTGATCATCTTTTTCACATTTTGAAAGAATTTATTCAGCAAAATTCTGAGGTGACGTAACCAACTTTTTGGGGTTGATAAACAGATACATTTTGATTAAAAAGTTAAGATTCTTACAATAATTTCAAAACGTCTGCAAGATTTCAAGTATTCAGTTTTGCAACTCTTGATTTAATCAATAAAATAAATTGACTCAGACATAATGACCAGAGACATTTATTCCTAATATAAGTACACAATTTCACAACAATCGGTCCAGTACTCTCGGAGATTATCTGTCTAATAAAAATCCGGGACGGCAGACAGACGGACAGACAGACGGAAATGGGAGACCTATTTCTTCGTCTTCTAGGGGTCATGACAGATCGAGAAAACGTAAAAGTAGAGAGTCGGTCGACGGACTCGATTACAATACTTCCTTTGCTTACGCTCGGGAAGTAAAAATGGTAGTAATCGACTATTTAATTACTATTTTGGTAACAATTTATTTTTAAATATTGTTCGAAATATACTAACAAAAATTTTTTCGGGTGATTCTAAAGTATTATTTGTTAATAGAAAAACTGCGTACTACGTCCACAGATGTAAAAATACTTAGCAGTTTAGAGCAGGCGCGAAAAAACACAGTTCCTTCTTGAGGAATAAGTTCAGGAAAAGGTTTAATCCATAAATTAATTTGAGTTATCTTCGACATTTTGACAGACCTGGATCGCTTTAAATGCTTTCAATGCAAACTTACGATGAAAAATAATAGGATAACGGCCCTTAGACCACCATAAAATATACCATTAATATACTTAAGTAACGAACAAAAATATTGGGAATGAACGGTATTTCCAAGAGTAATTAAGGACCGATTTTACCTCCAAACTATCATAAAACCCAAACCTTTACTAGTTATTTGAAGCTCAGGACAATATTTGCAATAGCAACATTAATCAAATTTCGTCATTCTAGACAAATGCCGATAGATGACAATAATTTTTTTTCAAATTAGCAAAAAAATTGATAAAAATGCAAAATATGCACCTGTTACGTGAAATATGCAACAGAAGGCAAATATATGCAAATATGCAATTTTTTTATAGCTGTATTCTTTTTTAATCAGCATGATTCGTTCACATATTAAATATCAAGACTTATATGGAAAAAATAACGGATACGCAAATTTCATAAAATCCGCTCTCTAATTATTATTATTATTTATATATACATGAGGGAGAGAGTTGCTCTTTCACATGCATCAACTAACGGCAAATGACAATTAACAAGTTGTGAAAACGATTTTATTTTATTTATTTAAAATACTTGATCTCTCTCTCTCTCTCTCTCTCTCTCTCTCTCTCTCTCTCTCTCTCTCTCTCTCTTGGATATGTACGTATATAGATATATAAAAATTGGTCTAAAGAGTTTAGACAGTACTTCCCTCGCTCCTGACCAGGTACGACCATCAGATTTTACAAAAGAGATAAAAAATACGAAATTTAAAGAAGCTCTCATTGATTTCTTTATTAAACATTGGTGTAGTGATGAACTGGTATGTATCATTTGTCGGTAATCAACTGATACATTTGAACTTTCGAAACTGTCATTCTTATCGAACTGTTAATGATATTATACAATCAAATATCAATTTTTAAAAACAACAATAAATTTAATTTCAAGCAGATGAAATAAATGTAAGATATAATGCGTCATTTCTCATTTCATAATTTACATTTTTCATTTTTTCTCATTATTCATTTCCCATTTCTCATTTCTCATTTAACATATCTCATTTTCACTTCGTGTCATATTTCATATTTCTCATTTCTTACAATGTGTCATTTCCCATTTCAAAATTCATATTTCTCATTTTTCATTTATTATTCATTTCTCAGTTCTCACTTCACATTTCTCATTTTTCATTTCTCATTTTTCATTCCCCCTCATTGTATCTTTCTCATTTCTCATATTTCTCATTTCATATTTCTCATTTTTCATTTATTATTCATTTCCCAGTTCTCATTTCTCATTTCATATTTCACATTACTCATTTGATATTTCACATTCATCATTTCTCACTTCGTGTTATTTCTCATTTCATAATTTACATTTCTCATTTTTCATTTTTTCTCATTATTTATTTCCCATTTCTCATTTTTCATTTAACATATCTCATTTTCACTTCGTGTCATATTTCATATTTCTCATTTCTCACATACCGTCATTTCTCATTTCATAATTCATATTTCTTATTTTTCATTTATAATTCATTTCTCAGTTCTCATTTCACATTTCCCATTTCTCAATTAACATATCTCATTTTCACTTCGTGTCATATTTCACATTTCTCATTTCTCACAATGTATCATTTCCCATTTCATAATTCATATTTCTCATTTTTCATTTTTTATTCATTTCTCAGTTCTCATTTCACATTTGTCATTTCTCACATCGTGTCATTTCTCATTTCATAATTCATATTTCCATTTTTCATTCCTTCTCACTGTATCTTTCTCATTTCTCACATTTCTCATTTTTCATTTATTATTCATTTCCCAGTTCTCATTTCTCATTTCTCACTTCGTGTTATTTCTCATTTCATAATTTACATTTCTCATTTTTCATTTTTTCTCATTATTTATTTCCCATTTCTCATTTCTCATTTAACATATCTCATTTTCATTTCGTGTTATATTTCACATCTCTCATTTTTCACAACGTGTCATTTCTCATTTGATAACTCATATTTCTCATTTTTCAGTTATTATTCATTTCTCAGTTCTCATTTCACATTTCCCATTTTTCATTTCTCATTTAACATATCTCATTTTCACTTCGTGTCATATTTCACATTTCTCATTTCTCACATCGTGTCATTTCTCATTTCATAATTCATATTTCTCATTTTTCATTCCTTCTCATTGTATCTTTCTCGTTTCTCATGTTTCTCATTTCATATTTCTCATTTTTCATTTATTATTCATTTCCCAGTTCTCATTTCTCATTTCATATTTCACACTACTCATTCGATATTTCACATTTCTCATTTTTCATTTTTTCTCATTATTCATTTCCCATTTCTCATTTATCATTTAACATATCTCACTTTCACTTCGTGTCATATTTCACATTTCTCATTTCTCACATAGTGTCATTTCTCATTTCACAATTCATATTTCTCATTTTTCATTTATTATTCATTTCTCAGTTCTCATATCACATTTCCCGTTTCTCATTTAACATATCTCATTTTCACTTCGTGTCATATTTCACATTTCTCATTTCTCACAATGTGTCATTTCCCATTTCATAATTCATATTTCTCATTTTTCATTTATTATTCATTTCTCAGTTCTCATTTCACATTTCTCATTTTTCATTCCCCCTCATTGTATCTTTCTTATTTCTCATATTTCTCATTTT